CCCCATATCCATCTTATTGCGTTTCTTTAGTTTGCAGCGGATCCGTCAGGATGAAGAGACGCTTTTCTTCCGCGATGACTCTCCCTGGAGATGGAGCGACTTCACCTCCCACCCTCGTGTCCTGCAGTACACTGACCGCACTGGAGTGCAGGCTGCAGACGTCCGGGTAAACGCATCCTGGTGTTTCCCGATTTCCAGAATGCAGGGATTGTATGTGTCAATCACTGTGTGTGCGACTTCTTCAACACCGTGGCATCAGCTGACGGATTGGCTTTCTGTGTGTGTGGCGCGACAGTGTTCACTTCGTCTTTGTTTTTAGATTCTAGGACACGAGTTCGATGTGCACGTGACCGCGCTGACACTGTGATGTCTCCTCAGGTGAAAGATGCTCAAAGCTTGGACCTGTTCCGTATCGGTCAGGATTCGTCATGCCAGAGAGGAGAGAGGGTGATATTATCCCGCTGTCTGCGAGAGACGAACCCAGCTCACTTCCTGGTGACCACACAGGTACCACTTCCTCTGCAGGACAGCACCTTGCTGGAAAGGGAGAGGCGATCAGATCATAGACTATACCTGCAGGGAGAAGTACTCCCAGTCTGCATGCAAATGCATCCTGCCCAGGATTGCCCACTCCTCTAGATAGACACACCCCCACCAAGACATTTTGATGTTTGCATAGCTCCTCCCCAAGAGCCAGCCCACTGCATGCATCACAGGTGAGGGCCCTGGAGAAGAGTACTGAGACAGTGTGCTTTGATGTCTTCAGCCAGGTTCAGTGGAGGGTTTTATTCCGGAGCCATGTGACCAATACTGATTATATTGTTCAGTGCCGCCCTTTCCCCCCCGCTCTGTTCTACTCATTATTTTTTCTCTTTCAGTTCTCGGTTTACATCATGGATGAGCGATGTCCTCTGGTACCAATGGCTAAATGGGCACACATGTTAGAGAGGCCGCCATCGTTCGTCAACGTTGTTCCAGGAGATGTGACTAACAAGATCCTGCTGGGAACTCAGCACAGCCAGGAGACGGTGCTGCTGCAGTACTCTGGTAAGGCCGGCTCTCCAGAAATGGCCGATCACATGTAGAGGATTTGTTCTTAACCGCCTCCCGGCCGGCCGGGAGCTTCCTGAATGTAACAGGCCATCAGACGTCCTGTTGGCCCCGCCCACTCGCACGCGGCAAACTGCCCAAATTTAAAAAACGGGCAGCCATGCCTGTTTACATACAAGCGATCCGCCAGCTATAGAGCCGGCGGATCGCTTGTATAAGGTGCCCATCGGTGCGCACCCCCCTCCTCTGGTCCCAAGCTCCGCTGTGCCCGGTGCCAGCCCGGGACCAGCACGGTTGCTCTGTGACGGGATCAGGGAGATCGGTACACTATCTCCCTCCGGTCCCCTCTCCGGTGTCATAATGCGGAAGTGATGTATATGACATCACTTCCGCATTCTTGTGTCACTCCCCTGCTTCAGAAGCTGATGAAGCAGATCTTTGCGGGAGGTCTTGAGCGGCGGGGACCGGAGAGCGGGAGGTCTTGAGGGGCGGGGACCGGAGAGCGGGAGGTCTTGAGGGGCGGGGACCGGAGAGCGGGAGGTCTTGAGGGGCGGGGACCGGAGAGCGGGAGGTCTTGAGGGGCGGGGACCGGAGAGCGGGAGGTCTTGAGGGGCGGGGACCGGAGAGCGGGAGGTCTTGAGGGGCGGGGACCGGAGAGCGGGAGGTCTTGAAGGACTGGAGAGCGGGAGGTCTTGAGAGGACGGTTTGGGTGATATTTCTGACATGAGGTTGGTGATGTAGCCGGGGAGCATGCAAACTCCATGCAGATAGTGTCCTGGGTGGGATTGGAAACCAGAGACCCCAGTGCTGCAAGGCAGAATTGCTAACCACTATATCTACCTGGATAGTTGAGTTTCAAGGACCTCTTGTATCTCCTGCACATTGGCTGGTGAGGGAACCTGCCATAGCGATGGACCAACAGGGACTGTGTGGGGATGTGGCTTAGGTCAGAGTGACCTGGGACTCAGCAGTAACGGGAGGGGACCTCTGGAGATATGAGGACACTTGGAGTTATTACCTTCTCACAATTCGATGAGTCTTTGGCATGTTGTGGAGTTCTTACATCTTTCCTCCGCGTTGCTTTTTTTTCCTCCAGGAGGCAACACCAACCCTTGCCAGCTGCATCTGCCCGCATTGAAACTCTCCCGGAATTCAGAGTCCCTCCATTACCTGGATCCGTTACCTCCGCTTCTCCATGACACTGTGACACAGAGGCTGGCATCTCCCATGGCAGGTAAGTGTGTCCCCTTGTGCGGCACAAGAACTGACCTCCCCCGATGAAATGATCATTAGCACGTTATGCCTTGGCTCGAGGCACAGACTTGTATCTGCTGTGGCAGGTCACAAATCTGATGCCACCTTAGCTTAGCATTGTCAGCCCGCAACAGGAAGTGCGGTCACTGGCAGGATCTCCAGGTGACAACTTCTTTTAGAAAAGATTCACAAAAATTTTTTGGCAGATACTGACCAACATAAAGAAAATACCTTATGGGTGTCCATTCATTTTAATATATTGTATAGATCATATTAACCGCCGAACGTTTAGAAACGGCCGGGCAGAAGTCTTCTGGATGCGGGCGGGCGTCTTTAAACGTCCTTCGTGCCCGCGGCCCCCTGGGGCGCACGAGCGGGAAATAGCCAGCGATGGCCGTTTTACATACAAGCGGTCCGGCATCTGTAAAGACGCCCGATGGCTTGTATGATGCATGTCTCTGTGCGCCCCTCCTTACCTCTTCTGGTGGTCGCGATCCCGGGCGTCCGATCCGGGCGACGTGGCTCCGTGCACTGAGAACGGAGGGAGGTCAGTACACGATCTCCTCCCCGGTCTCTGAATGCAGGAAGTGGTGTTTACTACATCACTTGCGCATTCTTCTGTCGCTCGAAAACCGGAGAGAAGCTGGTGGAGCAGATCTGTGCTTCGTCAGCTTCTCTGGGGGTCCCTAGGTGACATTAGGGGTCTTAGAGACCCCCTGATGTCTCCTTAAAGGGAACCTGTCACTGTAATTTTATATCACATAGGGGGATTCTTAGCCCCCTATGTGATGACAATAAAGTTAAGTGTGTAAAAAAAAAAAAATTGGTCACAAAATAAATAAAATTTACACACAAAAACCCACAAAAATGTTTTAAAGTCCCCTTACATACCACCAAAGGAAAGCTCTATCTGATCCCCAAAAATGGTATAAAAATAATTTCAGTACAGCATTGGATGATGGAATAAATGTCACAGTACTGCAGTGCTGAATACTAGAGGTGCACCGAAATGGAAATTTCAAAAACGAAACCGAAATTAAAAAAAGTTGTCAGGCCGAAACCGAAAATGTTTTTTATTATAATTTTTTAAATATTTTATTTATTTTTTATAAACCTTAAATATTTTTATATTTCCCATTTTTTAATAAATATTTTTATTTTGTACTTTTTAGGGGCTTTGGGGGAAATAATAGGGGTCTAAACAGATCCCTGATATTTCCCTTTTTTAAAATGGAAAAAGAGATTGAGAACACAAAGTCCTCAGAGACACACAGAGTCCTCAATCTCTTATTCTGTGTCCCCTGTTATCAATGATCAGGAATCCTCTATACTGAGTGTACCTGATCATTCATAACTTGAGAACATTGTGTGTTTACTATAACTACAACTATGAATGAACAGGAAGTGATGTAGGAGAGGATGTAGATCACTTCCCATTCATTCATAATTGAGGATATAGTCAACATACCATGTCCTCCATTATCTACAAACACTCAGCGATCACTGAACGCTGAGTGTTTGTAGCCTGCTCTCTGACACGCTGTCACAGGAGGCGGAGGAGAGCTCAGCCTCCTGTGACAGCGCGGGTTGTCTCCGCCCCCCCCCCACTGATCTGCCGGACTGTGATAGGAGGCTGAGCGATGTGGGAGGAGGGCCGCTCACAGCGCTCTCTTCCCGCAGCGCTCGGCCGGCTGTTGCACTCTCTCTTCCCCGCTGGGACACAAAGCAGCGCCCAGCCGGGAGGAGAGAAACAAGGGATGCGCAGCTGTATCGGCAAGAAAATGTCACTTTCGGCATTTAGCCAAAAGTGCCATTTTTGGCCAATATGTTTTGGCGACCGATATATCGGTGCATCCCTACTGAATACTGAAAAATGGCCGGGACAGGAAGGGGGCGTAACACTGCGGTCAGCAAGGGGTTAATTGCAATATTAAAATACAGTTTCCTGTTGAATGTCTGGCTTCACTGAATATTTTTGCCTTTTTTTCTAGGATTGGCTACAGCATACAATCCAGAATCCATGATGGTTTTCCTGCTGACAGAGGCCGGCGACGTCTTCACTCAGCAGCTGGTGCATAAGAAGTCCCTGGCGCCAAGCTCCAGCCGTGAGGGTCATTTTTCCAGGAGGAGTCCTACAGCCTCATCGGAGCAGGCTTCAGAAGATGTTGCCATTGGCTCAGGGGCTTCTGGCCAGGAACCGGCAAGTGCTAGAGCCGCGGAATGTTCTCCTGAACTTGACTCCACCGATCCAATTCGTGCCTCAAGTCCCATCCGTGAAGTAGATTCTACCGCTGCACGTTCTCTCAGCGCAAAGTCTAAGCTTTTTTTCAGCAAGTGGATCTCTGCTTTACTCAAACAAGGCGTAGAGGTCCTCCAGCGTCCGGAATCCTCGATCACCAAGCTGTTCAGTGCTGAAGAATTACGTGGAACGCCTCCGGAGGTAGAAGGATTGCGCGAGAGCCTACGCCAGGCTATGAGAGCGGGCAAACTCCAAAAATTCGCCCCCCCGACCATCTCGGAGACGGTGGAGCGGGTGCGCACAGAGGACTGGACAGACCCGTTGAGCCAGAGGCTCTCTGCAGCTTGGGAGGGCCGGCTTACCCACTGGTGGAACGATCACTTGGGATTGAATAAGCAAAGCAAGGTTCAGGCTCTTCGAGAGAAGATACGAAGACAAAAGCTGCAGAGGGCTCGAAGCCAAAGCTCGTTAACGGGAAGCTTCTTGTCCCCTTTCAGTTTTGGTTCAGAGATGTACGAGGCGGAAGCCAGTTCCCCTTGGTCATACGACGGTGCCCCCATGTCAGACATGGACACGTCGGTCCATTCTGCAGTCAGCGAAACACAGGGTGGTGCTGACCCTATTGAACAAGCTTCTAATTGGAGTTTCCAGTCGGGGCCTTCAAGAAGGTCAGATCTCTTCCACGGTAGACAGGCCCATCCACAAGCCAAATCTGAGCTGTCTTCACAAATATCAAGTGAGCCGAAGTTATCAGAACCTTGTGCTATCACCTCCTCACTGTCCCTCCGCTCTAAGGGTATCCCCAGAGAGAGGAGGAGGACCTTACAAGACTTCATATCTATCTTTGGGGAGAGCAGAGACACGCAAACCAGCGATCCTACACCGGTGTCTCAGGAGATCGCCCCGTCTCAGAGCTCCGAGAGGCTGTCGAGGAGCTTCCAGTCGCAGACCCCTTCACAGCGCCCCCAGACTCGAGCACTCTCAATGCACAGTGAGATCCAAACGGGCTCGCAGCCCCCTCGGGGGACCTCCTCTCAGGGGTTCTCGCAGCGCTCTGCAGCACAAAGCCGTTTACAGCGGCCACCTGCTAAAAAGTTTCGGATGGGATTCTAATCTACCTCTGTGACCTCGTGCGGCTTTTCCATTTCTGGTGTTCTTGGTCAGCACCAGACTTCTGATTTTGTTTGTGTTTTTTACAGTTGTGTGAGCAGGTCTGAGTTTCACTTCCCAAACTACATCTTGTGTTGTTTTTTTAAAAGTTAAAGTCTCCAATTCCAACCTTTTTTTTTTTTTTTTTTTTTTTTTTAAATGTTAAAACTTCTGTCGGGTACAAATATGGCTTCCATCTTAAAGTGTCAACAGGTTGTCATAACCAGTGGCGTAACAAAAGCCATAGCAGCCCATGCAGCTGCTATGGGGCCTGGGGGTGGAAGGGGGGCCCCCATTTAAGGATTGCAGAAGTTGCTGTTGACACTCACTCTGTACCCCCTGTGACATTTCCCATCAAGAAGAGCTGACATAAAATGTACAGGAGGAGACAACGCAGACAGCTTTCCTGCTACCCGACTTTCATTCACAGTAGGGAGGTCGCTATGGGGCCCCATTATAATTTTGCTATGGGGCCCCATTATAATTTTGCTATGGGGCCCCATGATCTAAAGTTACGCCCCCTGGTCATAACATACAAATTGTATACCATCCTCTGTAGGTTGGTACTTTGTTGTGGTTGGTCTTCAGTCCTCCAAGCAATGCGGGATCCCGCTGTGGTTTACAATGGAGCCGTAGATGGTGGGTATCCTAGCATAACACCAAACGATGGGGCCACAGGGAGGTAAAACCAGCAAAAGCGCATCAACCTGGTGCAATGCTATCACTGTAATCAATGACAAACCATTCATTACTGATATATAGGATGACCAACGCTTGGCGGTGGCCCAAGAAGCCATGCTCTGTATGAAGTCCTGGAGCCCACACACCTTGATCAGCAGGGCTCATCACCGGATCACCAAGATCAGTGCGGTGGGTTGCTGGGGGGTGAGATGTTCTGGTGCAATTTTATACAGCCAAACGGGTAAAGTTCTTCCCGTTCCTGGGTCAGAAAAGAGCGTCTGCCTTTGAGGCAATGCATTTCGGGGTTGAATGTCCTTTCAAAGCGCTAGCTCAATGCTCAAATAGAACCGAGCTGGTGCAAAAGTTGCTTTGTACTAGCTTGGCGCACTCTGGTTGGTTGTTCACCAGAGCTTCATGGTTGATATAATGTGAACAAGGGCACATAGAGAACAATTTTGGTGTAGCTTAGAGCACTCTGGTTGGTTGGTTGTTCACCAGAGCTTCATGGTTGGTATAATGTGAACAGCGTACATAGAGAACAATTGATTTTTTTGGTGTCCTTGCAATTATCAATGAAGGTCAATGCAGCCGGTATGAACAAGTCCTTCTGTAGGGGATCCTTCTCTTTTGGACTTGTGGCAGTCCCTCTGATCACTTGGTAAAAAGTGATGGTTGATCACCTGATGACTTTGTACCCACAAAGTAGGGATGTCTACCTCTTTCGGAAGGTCCACCTGAGGGACTCTGTAAAGATTTTGGGTTACATTATGTCTTAATGCATTGGTCCTCAACCTGTGTAAGCTCAGGACCCACATTTGTCCTCTGTCATTAGGTTGCACTGCAATGGAATGTAAGGCAGTGTGGGCTGCTGTGCAGTGACGGAGCTCCATCCATATGCGCATTCCTTGTACAGCTCCCATGCGCACGCCTGTAGAGGTGCCGGGAGCCAGAATGTGATGTCAGTCCAGGAACCTCTACAGGACATGAGGGAGCTGTAAGCAAAGAACGTATGGATGGAGATCCCTCGCGGCCATACCCACCAGCCCACCCCAAGTTGCCACTCCGTGCCGGGCAGCATGTTTTGAATGGCTGCTTGACACGAGAACTGACAATGCTGCGCTAGGGGGAGACTGAGTAGCTAGAAAAGTGGAAGGCATGCAGCGACCTACTGAACATGGGGTCGTGACCCACTTTTGGCTCACGACCCACCAGGTGAGAACCAAGGTCTTAATGGATACCTTGGCTTTTTTTTTTTTGCACTACGCTATGCAAGTGTTTGTCCTATAAACCTGTGACTGTTGTGGTGTATGCTTCCAATCCTCTACAGTAGAGTGCTGTGCGGTAAATACTGATGTTCAAGGAGATGTCAAACCAATCCCTAAAATCTTACAAAAGTTTTAAAGGAGAACTATGAGGGGGGGAGGGGAGTGCTTTTCACTCATCCTCATAGTTCTAGCCGACCTGTGACAATGAGACTGTCACAGGTCGGCTCAGTAGATCGGGAGGTGAGCGAACACATACCGGCGCTCGCTCACTTCTCGATCCTGTCACGGCTCTCTGCCGTGACAGGGGGAGGTGCTGGATTCCCCCTCTCCGATCCTCCAGCGCTGACTAGCGGAACGGATGGGGGAGGGGGCGGGTACAGCTGGGCGGATCCAGACATAATTGTCAGGATCCGCTTCAGCTGCGGCGTCTCAGTATACCGCGAGCTGTAGCTCCCTATATACTGATCCTAGGGTGACGGGAGGACGCTAGTTTGTGTCCTCCCGTTACCCTGAGGAGAACTATGGGGAAAAGCCCTGACCTCATAGTTCTCCTTGTAACAGTTTATTTTGGTTCACAAGCAGTTTTCAGTATCTTTAAATCTGCAGCGTTCAATGATCCTGCGGAAAACTCGAGTTCTGCATCCGCGGAGTCATGCCCGTGGCGGTCAGAGCCTTGCAATGCTAAAAGGGCATTTGTAGTCCCACCACAGCTGGATGGCCGGTTTGCCCGCCTTTCCTTTACACTGCGGGCACAATTATTAGGCAAGTTGTGTTTTTGAGGGTTCATTCCATTATTGAACATCTCCGGAGCTCTCTGTGATTCCAAAATGTTAATAAACCTCAAATGTGAATATTTACGAAGGTCAACGTGAAGTTTTGGCTTTCTTAGAAGAATATCTGTGTATGTGCACAATTACTGGGTAACTGTAAGGCCTCATTCACACAGCTAAGTGTTGGCCCGTACAGATCCGTGCGACGTGCGTGACCGTATCGAGCCGTACCCGGGAAGGACAGGTGCTGCGTGTGATTGTACACAGCAGCCTGTTCTTCTCTATGGGAGGACGCGGCCGTACGCCCCCCCGAACTGCACGTCCGTGTATGGCCTTGTCCTCACATAGGGAAGGACAGGCTCCTGTGTACAATCACACGCAGCGCCTGTCATTCCCCGGGAACGACACGATACGGGCATGCATGCCGCACGGATCTGTACTGGCTGACACTTAGCTGTGTGAATGAGGGCTCAGTGTGCAGGATTATTATGCAACTAAATGGAAAATGTTCCCGTCTCTCTCGTTTATTTTCATCTGTTAAAGTGAGAAGAATAAACATTTCTGACATTGTTCAGAAACAAACTCGGTGACCAATATCGCCAATACCGGGCCTCAGCCTCCCATCCATGGAGTCTGTCAGTTTCTTCAGCTGTTGACCATCAACTTTTTGTGCAGCAGCAACCGCCGCCCCTCCAGACACTTTTGCTTCCCCATAAATCTCCCATTTAAGAAGAGCCCACGGGTCCTCAGTAGGGTTTGGGGCAGGGGCGGACTGACCAGTCTGGCACTGCCCGAGGCCATCAGGGGGGTCCGTCACCGAGCAGTCTTCCACCAAGTTGCTGGAAGACTGCTCAGGTAAGCCTGCACTTTCCCCCCACATGGTGCTATATAATGTAATGCTGGGATAGTGGGATTTGTAGTCCTCTATAGCTGATGGTACATTGTGCTCTATATTATACCATCAGCTATAGAGGACTACAAATCCCAGCAATACATTATACACTGTATGTCTAATGTACTATTGCTGGGATTTGTTATATTCCTCTATAGCTGGTGGTATTCTGCATTGTGCTGTATAGAGGACTACAAATCCCAGCAATAATATATTATACAGCGCAATGCAGAATACCGCCAGCTATAATGTACTATAGCTGGGATTTGTAGTCATCTATACAGCGCAATGCAGAATACCGCCAGCTATAATGTACTATTGCTGGGATTTGTAGTCCTCTATATCCAGTGCCATCCTGCATTGATTGCATCTCTTTGTGAATTGGCCCACTATTTGAAAAATGTGGAGAAAACATTTCTGTGACACAAGAATGCCTATGCAGAAGGGGCGTGTGGGAGGGACTTGTATAGGGGCGGAGCTCAAGGGGCCCCATAATCTTGTATTGCCCGGGGGCCCCATGTGTTGTCAGTCCGCCCTTGGTTTGGAGTCAGGTGAGGAAGGCGGCCATGTCATTATTCTTTAAGGCCACCCAGTGGAGGACTCGGATGCATGCGATGGAGCATTGTCCTGCATACATATCACGGGCAGACTTTTTGCTGGACCACGGCTTGAAGAAATTGTCTGCTAAAAACTGGCAGTTAGGTTTTGGAGTTGATATTGAGTCCATCTTCAACCCAAAAAGGTCCAACCAGCTCATTTTTATTAATAACAGCCCACCAGTACCCCACCCCCACCTTTGCTGACGTCTGAGTGGAAGTGGAGCTCTGTGCCTATTACTGAGCCAGCCACGGGCCCATCCATCTGCTCCGCCAAGAGTCCCTCTCATCTCATCAGTCCATAAAACCTTTGTAAGATCCGTCTTCAGATATTGCTTGGCCCGGTCCTGACGTTTGTTCAGTGGTGGTCGGGTTTCCTCACCTTGACCATGTCTCTGAGCACTGAACACCTTGTACCTCCTGGGCCCTCCGAGTAGGTTGCGGTTCTGGAGGATGACGGGTTCCCGGGAGCTTCACGTTTGATTCTTCTCAAATCATTGCCAGTTAATTTGCGTCCGTCTTTCTCAAACACGTTTCTTGCCACCCTGCTGACTATTTGCAACAAAGTGTCTGAGGGTTCTGTGATGGCGCCCCAATAATCCGAGTGCCGCATTTCTTTTGAAGGACTTTTTGCAATTTTTTACATTTCGGAGTCAGTCAAATCTCTTCTTCTCTAGTCACCTTCCAGGACAGCATTAGAGAGATAGGCTCCTCCCACCGGAAACAGGAAACACATCACCCACACCTAGAATAAAAAGTA